GGGGGGGAGGTCTGCGTGTAGATAGATACACATATGGAGAGTCTTGATGGCTTCCTGTCTGTGAGTCGTGCCTCCCTTTGTGCTCCTTTCTCCGACTCCTTTCTCTTCCTCTACTCCACGCACACACGGAGAGAGAAAGGTCTGTAAGCTTCCCCCTCTCCATGTATTTCACCCCAGACGGCTTCTTGCACGCCAAATCAGGAGGGGGAGAAACGATGAGGGGAATCGGGAACGTGTGTATGAGGAGGTTTTAACGCGTTATCTGTCTACTGTATCTGCCTGCCTTCCTCCTCTTCCTCCTTCCCCCACCCTTCTTAAAGCTGCATTGGAGAAATACCCCGCCGTCCCCAACAGGGGCGTTCCTTCCTTCCCTTGCTTTCTCTCTTTCACCACTGAAAAAATAAAAAGGATGCAGCAGCTTCAACTTCTCGGTCAGTACCGAGACAGAGAAAAGACGGGGAGGGGGGAGGACGGAGCAAATGGGCGGGCTTTCCTTTCAGCTCCATGTCAAGAGGAGAAGCAGCGGGAGCAGCGCGCGCTGCCAATTTTGCTCGGGGAGCCACTTCGGTGGTGCGTCGCTAAGCTCTTCCCCCTCTCCCTCCCTCCCTTCCCCTCCCCGAGCGGTCGATAGGGCAGACAAAGCGCCGCGGCTCTCGGGGAGGCGGGGGAAGGGGCAGCGGGCTCCGCCTGTGGGTCGCGACTGAGGCGGCCTTTCGCGCGGGGCTGGGAGGAGCTGAGGCGGCGCCAGCGGAAAGAGAGAGGAGCGACGGCGCAAGCACTGGGGAGGGTCCCGGTCAGATGGACAAATTGTCCCTCTCCTGACGTGGGAGGAGCCGGTCGTGGCAACCACAGCCGTCTCCAGCGAGAAGAGGAGCGCCCCCGGGCTCTTCCTTCCTTCCTTCCCTCCCTCCCTCCCCCATCGCCTCTTTGTCGCCGCAACACCCACCCCTGCTCCCGGGCAGCCACTGCGGCTAACCCTGCCGTCAGTCCGCGCCCTCCCACCCACCTGAGGGAAAGGGAGGGACCTGCCCGGCTTTGTCAGGCAGACGCCAGCTGGCGGGGTGGCTTTCCCAACGTGGGCAGCCGCAGCGGGGGTGTTCCGAGTCGCTCGAGGCTACGAGCCAAGCGGCTACCCCGCCTCTCGCGCTACCAGCCTCGCTGAGGGAAAGCAGACGGAGCTCATGAACTCCCTACTCTTTTTCTTTCTCCCGTGCGTGCGAAGGACATGGCTGTTGCGGAGATTTCCGCAAGCGGCTTGCTTGGAGAGGCAACGCACAACTCTTGAGGGGAGACGTGTGGTTCAATCCTACAGCCCATTTTCCTCGAAACTAGGTCTCCACCATGGAGTAAATATTTCGGGCGGCAGCTTTAAAAGGCCGACAACGAAGCCGAGCTTCATCGAATCGGGGCTTAATTTTACAAAACAAAACACCAAGGCCTAATTTCAGGCTGGCCGTCCCAACTAAAGTACAGATTGAATCAGCTGCTGAGTTTACTTAACGTAAACAGCACTGAATCAATATGTCTACTCTAGTAGGGACTACCAGTCGGGTTCAGCTACATGTGTTTTGAACAAATGCTCATCACCAGGGCGCAGCAGAAATCCTAAAACTGCAATTCCTGCTGCTTTCGAGTTAGGCAGATGCACGGGATCCTACTTGGAATCTGTGCAAGAGCAAGACTTATAAGGTCGAATTTTTAAAATGCCCGCCAGCCCTTCAGCTGTTCCTCAAAATTAGTCTGGATCGCGGCAATCAAACCTAGCACCATGTACGAATCGCCAGGCTGCAAATGCGATGATTTCATGCATAAATTCTGTATATTTATTGAGCTGCTCTCACGGGAAGGCATTATTGACTACCAACAGCCTGAGACGCACCGGTCCGCGGGCCCTCCTCACTTAGAGAGTTAGAGGAGAGGGCCCGAACAAGTAGATACAGGTTTAAATATTTAGAAGTGATTCTCCAACCAAATAGCTCAGCAAACAGAGATACCCCTTCCTTAAAGAGATAAAGCGTGAATTTAGTGGTCATGGAAAGCTTGAATAGGAACACTGCATCTAGGGCAAATTCTCTGACCGACTGGTCTGGTCTGTTCTTTTATCACCAGAGTCTTCTGGGAGCCTGTGGGATGAGTGTGAAACGCCACTTCCTACTAGTAGTCATTACGCCACCGGCAGATTAGCTCCCTCCCCTTTGCTGTTCTCTTCTAAGCCTCTTAAAAGGCCAAGGAAACTTCAATTTTTTTTTAAATCCAGCCCAGGAGGATGCTGACTGGCTGCTGGTCGTTTAAAGAGACTTGATTGGGCTGCGACACACACACACACTCACAGAGTGCCCGTCCAAGAGGAGGCGGGGGAAACCTGTCCAACTTTTCTTCCCCAGGGCTGTCACTCCCGCTCGGCGAAGCCAGCCCACGAATTCTTCCTCTGCTGGATTTAAAGAGGCAGCGGCGAGAGCGAGAGAGAGAGAGCATCCTTCCCGCCGCGCACCCGCCTGCAAGAGGCACACGTGCCTGCGCGCGCCCTCCCTTCGTTTCCCGCGCTGCCCAACGACCCTCGCAAGACTTTTCTTTTCTTTTTTCTTTTTTTGGCACCCCCGAAGGGCCAGTACTCCTGCCTTCCACTTTGCTGTCCTCCAAAACGTCTGGTTTGCGTTTTAAAACTATTAGTATTGTTATGTCTTGCCCTCGAGCTGAGAACAATAACTGAGAACCAGGGGAAAGCGATGGCGAGGAATCATTGCATGACTATCGATTTATGAAGAAGGCTCCCTTCTCTTTCGAGCGCCTGCCATAAGGAAGGGGAGAAATGGAAAGGCTGCTGCTCCTCCGCCTCCTCCTCCTCCTCCTCTCGACCGGCCACCTCACCCCACCCCATCCCCGTCCGTCAAGGCAGAGCCTTCAACTCCTCTTCAAATAATCCGTCCTGCTTCCTGGATTCCCTTATTAGTTATAGGACCAAAGTTTCCTCTCTCTCCGCCCATTCCCTGGCTTCAGCCAAGCATCCATCCCTCGCTCGCTCCCCACCCAAACTCCTACATCCGTTCAGGCGAGTGACTCCAAAGGAAAGAGCGCCAGCCCCCCGCGCTCAGCTGCCGCCCTCCAACCGCCCGACTTGCCCGCCCCCTTACCATGATCAGTGTGTGGTTCCTGTGCTCAGCCGTGGCAGCCTCGGCATCTTGTTGCTGTTTGCTCGGATGCTGTTGCTTGCTGTTGCCGCCGCTGCCGGTGGTGCCCGCTTTCTTGGCCCTTTGCTCCAGGGTCCTCTGATAAAGGCTCACCGTGTCCCTTCGCTCGAGCTCCAGCTGCTCCACCTGGGCTTGCTGGTACCTGTTCTCGCAGTTGACGTGGTGCCTCCTGCAGCCCTCGATGCGTTGCCTCAGCCTCTCCACCACCGTGCTGTGTTTGGGAATGTTGCCGCCGCTCCCGTTGGTGCCGCCGCCGCCGCCGCCGCTATGAGTAGCGTTGTTACCGGGAGGAGGGCCGTGGGGAGCGTTATTCACGCCGATCCCGGCCCCGCCGAGGCTGCTGTTCAGGGTATTGTTGAGGCAAATGCTGCTGCCGTTCGCGGCAGCAGCGGGGGCTGGAAAATCCCCCATCCCTTTCCCCGTGCACACTATTTTGGAAGAACTTTTCCCCAGCTCCTTGCCTTTTCGCACTCGGGCGCCACACGCCAGGCACAAACGCGGCGGCCGCGGGGAGGGCGTCCTTCGCTTGGGACACTCTTTAACGGACCATGGAAAGGGAGAGAAGGCAGCCCCTCCAGACAAAATGTTTGGAGCTGTTTTCGTAGGGTTTCCCCCCCACACCCCACCCCTCCGAAAGAAAGACAAACCTCTCTCTTTCCTCCTGGTCGATCCTCTCCGGCTGGGAAGGGGACAGAAAAATGCCAAAAGGAAAAGGGTGGGTGGGTGGCAGCCTAAACTCAGGAGGTGGTGCTGAAAGGTTATCGCCAGACACAATCAACAAACACAGGAGGAATCCCAACAAACTGAGCAGTAGCAGTTCCGTCGCAAACTCCAAGCAAGAGAGTTCAGATCTGTCTCCCTTTTAAGTAATCCATCATGTCCAAAACAAATTCCGGACCGAAAATCTCCTTGGTCTCCCCCCATGTATTAAAACAGAGAGCAAGGGGGGGAAGGAGAGGGAGAGACAGGTAGCCACATGCGTGCAGAGAGACAGGAATCTATGCACCCTCACTCACACTTCTAGACACACTTGCAAGACACCTAACACAGGCACCCGCTGGGGCATACAGACACACATACATCCACCACCACTACCGCGCTCACACTCCACACAACATCAGGGGAGAGGCGACGCCACTTTCTTATTATGTTTTCTTTCCGGGGAGGGGGAAGGAAAGGGGAGGGAGGGAAAAAAAGAGCAAAAGTTTGGGTGTTTATGCCGCACCGTGTTCTCAAAAAGTACTTTGGCTGCTCAGTTGTAATTTTCAACGGGAACCTTTACAAGGAGAAAACAAAACAAAAAGAGAGAGAACAAATCCTCCGAAGCTGCGGAAAGTCAACACGTGAACAATCCGGGGCGATCTGCAAAAGTAGCTCGCCGAAGTATTTGCAGAGCGGGCGCCGAGGTGCTGCTACACACCACACAGACAGACCGACTAGGGCTCGGCTCGGCTTTGCTGGCTGCTTCTCCTCCTGCCACCATCACAATGATCAAGTGCTCTCCTCCTCCTCCTCCTCCTCCATGCCAGCGGAGTGATACCAGGACAAGAGCGCTCAATAAACAGAGCAAAGCAGCCGCCGCCGCCGCCGCTCCAGCTTCTCCAGGCCGGGAGGCAGACCCGGGGACAAGGTGCAAAATCCGGTCCGGACCTTTCGCCGACAGGAACGGGCAGGCGACGACGAGCCCCCACCGAATTCCACCCCCACCACCCCCGTCTTCCAGCTCCTTCCCACGACACTGGTTACCTTAGGCGGAAAAGCAGTTCTGCCAAGGACGGAACAAGAGAAGATCCGAGGCAAGCGGCTGCCGAGGCAGTCAACTTTTGACCTGGTCGCGTGTGTCTGTACGCGCGCGCGCGCGCGTGTATGTGTAATATGCATGCCTGTTTGTGTGTCCGGTTTCCTTATTCAGCTTCAGCGCATGCTGAAGGGCTGTATTCGGTTCGCCTAAAATCGTTACGTGTTATTGTGTGGTAGAACCTGTGCCGAGGGCCACGCCAAAAGCGGACAGCGTCGTTGCTCGAGTTGTCTGATAAACCTTTTTCCACGTGGAAAAGTAAAAAGAGAGAGGGAGAGAACAAGGCTGGCTATCAAATTAACTGCGACAAGCTTCGGCACCGCTGCTTTTCAGCCCCTTCACAAGAGAGTAAATATTTAATACGGTTTTGAACAAACTTGTTTAAAAGTTGGCTAAAAGGAAATCCCCGTTCCAATTAAAATGTAGGTGATTGGAACAATAACATGGGTTATTATTGGTACTGTTATATTCATGTATTGTTTTGTTCTAGCTCCTT